TAAATCATTTAAACCTATGCCAACACAGGAGAATACATAAACATATTTCTAAATATGCGATTTATTGTACATCACGATTTCAAAATACTCACTTGTCAAAATCAGTAGATTACTTGATTAGCAAAATAATCATTAGTTAAGCACTAGATTAGTTAAAACATTTCAAAATACAACTGCATTGTTTTACTTTTTGTGATTAAAAGACAAATATTTTGTCATTTGAAAATTTCTTAAGAATTAAAACTAGTTCTAGTGGACCATGTATCTGCATTTTGTGTCACCTTGTGTGCTAAGTGTATCGTCACACCCCTAGTGTCTGTGAGCGTGATAAAGCTCATAATTTTCCAAGTGTATGATATAGATTTCATTCTTCAGGTCAATCATATATTCATGAAAAAAAATCAGTTTGAATAAGGAAAGCGATAACTTTGCCATAGTATTCTTTCAAATGTTAAAGTTGCCACAGTCATTGCATTCTTTGCATGTGCTGCACTTTATTTGTACCATTTTGTTTTATTAGTTTATTTTAGGGATGCGCCGATCCGATATTCATATCGGGTATCGGCTCCGATAGCCATTTGTCTCGGATAGGGTATCGGTCAGAGAGGGCCGATCCAAATCCGAGACTTTATTATTATTTTTTTTTCCCTGTCATTTTGCATATTACATTTCAAAATGAATTTTGCTACCCATATGCTTTCATAGAAGTTGGCTAGTATCAGTTGGTAATTGTTATTTGGACTTTGGTTTCTTCATTTTAGGTCCATTTTATAGCTAAATATTGAGCTGCATGCTGTCGTTTGTTATTATGTTTTCAACATTTAATGTGTTTTCTAGTTTTATTAGTTGCATTAAGTGTAAAAATACATTTGAATAAATTCAACAGTATTGCTATCATATAGGGCTGGACGATATGGCCAAAATTTACATCACAATATATTTCTTAATTTCGGTCGATACGATATAATTCCGATATCGATATGAACACTATTAAAAAAAAGCCTCATAAAAACTGCCAAGAACACCCACAACAGATGTCTGTACCTAAAAACTTCTGGAAAATGAATTTTCCAAGTCTATGAAACCTCCTCCTATAAAACTATATAATATTGAAGAAAAAAACAGCACAAATAAATTAATGTTTACCTTCATCAAACTATATCAAACTATAGGCTGACATACACTACCAGTCAAAAGTTTTTGAACGGTAAGATTTTTTAATGTTTTTTAAAGAAGTCTCTTCTGCTTACCAAGCCTGCATTTATTTGATCCAAAATACAGCAAAAACAGTAACATTTTGAATTTGTTTTGCTATTTAAAATAACTGTTTTCTGTTTGAAAATATTTTAAAATGTGATTTATTCCTGTGATTTCCAAGCTGAATTTTTTGCATCATTACTGCAGTCTTCAGTGTCACATGATCGTCAGAAATCACTCTAATATGCTGATTTGCCGCTCAAAAACATTTATTATTATGTTAAAAACAAATGAGTAGTATTTTTTCAGGTTTCTTTGATGAATAGAAAGTTCAGAAGAACAGCATTTAACTGAAATAGAAATCTGTTGTAACGTTATAAACGTTTTGATCAATTTAAAGCATCCTTGCTAAATAAAAGTATTATAAATAAAATAAAATTGCAGCGCTAAATAAAATTTCTATAATATCTTTCCCAAAAAAAAAAAATTTATTCTGACTCCAAGCTTTTAAATGGAATAGTGTATAATGTTATAAAATCTTTTTATTTCAGATAAATGCTGATCTTTGGATCTTTCTATTCATCAAAGAATCCTGAATAAATATATTCTCAACTGTTTTAAATATTGCAAATCAGCATATTAGAATGATTTCTGAAGATCAAATAGAAAGCAGTTATTTTAAATAGTAAAAAATAATTCATAATGTTACTGTTTTTGCTGTACTTTGGATCAAATAAATACAGGCTTGGTGAGCAGAAGAGAATTAAAAAAAAAACA